CAGATAAGTGAACTGAGGCAGGAGTTTCAAAGTCAGTACCAGTTCCACCCCCACGCTAAGGAGTCACCAGGTAATAAGTTCTCAGGTGCATTTTCGGTGCAGGAAGTCTTCTGCAAACTTGTCGAATTTATTCGCAAAATGTAAATGTGGACTGTGCTTGCTTCCTGGCATCAGACGTAACTGTGACCCTCTCAGGGGGTTATTTATGAAGACATGGAGCCAGAGGATCCTTTTATTCTGTTTATTCTGCTGGTCTCAAAAGATATGACATGAGAATTAAAACGTTAAGAATTATATGCCTGAAGCCGACCAAACCCCTAGTTATCTGCTAACCTCTAACCCAACAGACTTCCACTATTGATAAGACACAGAAAATACAAATTTCATGATAATCATTTGATGCTACAAGATTTAGGATGAGGAGATTATAAAAAGATTAATGTTTGGCTACCACTTTATGCCCTCCTAGCCTGACTCACATAGATTCACGCGGCAGACAGCTCCACATACAATATTCATTGCTGAACTGAGGGTCAGAAGCATTGGCCTCTTCAAAGTATTAATAAAGTGAGCAGCCAATTAACTGCTACTTGGAAGGCCACTGTTTACACCTCTGCGGTGTTGTTGACGCAGCAGCAGCCAAGGCCTGCCTGTAGAAGCCACCGTGAACCGCAGTTAAAGGAGACGCTGGTGCTCGTCGGGCCACCTCAACAGCCATTTATCTAAAAATAAGGAACTTGGGAAACAGCTACACATATCAGACAAAATCCCCATCCTCACAGAGCTCCCAGAAGCCCTCAAGAAAGACAGGCAAATATGCGACCAGGATAAATTCATGGTTGGGGAAGCCCATGGCGTGACAACCTAATCGGATGGGGGTTGTGGGAACTGTGAGAAGAATGGGCAGGAAACTTTTTCTGGAGAAATGAACTTTTAAGCTAAAATGCAAACATGAGGAAGATTCAGCTAGGGACAGAGTAAGAAGTACGTCCTAGGAAGGGTGAAGCTCAGAGGTGTTCCAGAGACAAGAGCAGGGTGCGGAAGCTGCGGAGCTTGGTTCATTCAGCCCGTAATGGTGGGGCTGCGGATCTGAGCACGGATGGGTGGACGGGTGGGCAGGGAAGGGCCAGATAGGCTGGGGGAGGAGCGGGGCCTTTTCCTAAAGCAACGTGGATCCCCTGGGAGGAGGGGGAGCGCCGGGAACAGATAGTTTTCTTTCAAGAGACATTATTGAGTTGCTGCGGTGTGGAAAGTGGACGAAACGGAGGATCCTGGATTGAAATCATGAAATGAGTGCACTGCAGAAATACCTAAATAGGATTCTGTGGGGTCATATTGGCAGCTAGGGAAGACCTAGGGCTTCCCTCATAGCTGTCGGTAAAGAATCTGCCTGCAGTGCAGGAGACCCGGGTTCGATTCCTGGGTTGGGAAGATCCTCTGGAGAAGGAAATGGCAACCCACTGGAGTATTCTTGCCTGGAAAGTCCCACAGACAGAGGAGCCTGGCGGGCTACAGCCCATGGAGTTGCAAGAGTCGGACAAGACTGAGCGACTAAACCATCACCACCACCATCACCAGGGAGGACTGATGCGGACGGGGAGGACCGGATGACTCAGCTGCACACAGGCTGAGTGCCTTTCCCTCCCTCCCCACGCCTCCCATCTTCCGCCCTGTCCTCCCTTCTCTCCCTCCCTCTCTCTCTTCCCTTTTTACATGTATTCCGGCAAGCCATAAAGAGGTCATAGCACCTGGGCATGACTATCTCCGCACTCAAGCCTCTCTGCAGACCGCCCTGCATTAAATTGACTGCCATCTCCCCTGACACTCTATTTGTATTTACATTACTTTCCCTGCCGTCAGTTATCACACTTATAACTTTCTCTGCACCTTCTCTGGGAAAGCACAGACTTCATTAACTTCCCTCTGGAACTTTCCTTTACAAACCTTACTCTGGAGGAAACAAAAAGTTAATAAACAGAAACTTGCCAGGCCTCTAGGGGAATGTCCTTACCTGTCGACTATCTTATATAAATGTGCATGGAAACTAGGAAGCCCTAACTTCGACTCTAGGAAGTAAACAAAGCAAACTAATTAATGCAACCCGTTTGGAATCTATTTGGAGCTCCTCACCGACCCCAAACACCTGGCCCTAGGTACTTGAGGGTATTTACTTTCTGTCCCTAAAATGTTCCTTTCTGTCCCCTTCTCTGTCCTGTCATGCAATACAGTCAGGCAGGAAAGAAGTGTCATGGGTGTCCTTCTATAATGCATCCATGGGATACACGTGTCACAGAATTCCAGCATTAGTCATAACACTAATAACTATCATTGTTTTCAATGCAGTCTGCTTTTGAGGACATGAAAGCAGCATCTAAAGAAGTCCAGGGCAGCAGAGTGACACCAGCAGGACCAGAACGAGGGACATACACAGCATGAAATTTACCATTTTAAGTACACAGTTCAGTGGCATTAAAGACATTCTCGTGCAACCATCACCACTATCCTTTTCCAGAATGCTTTTCTTCCCAAACTGAAGTTTTGTACTCCTCACACAGAAACTCCCCATCCCCTCCTCCCCTCAGCCCCATTCGGCTTGGTCTCCATGCGTTTGATGACCCTAAGTGCTTCACGTAAGTGGGATCATACAGTATTTCTCTCTTTGTGACTGGCTTATCTTACCTAGCATCCTCAAGCTCCATTCATGTTGTAGCATATATCAGGATTTCCTTCCTTTTGATGGTTACATATGGCTTCCCCGGTGGCTCAGTGGTAAAGAATCCGCCTGCAATGCAGGAGACTTAAGAGATGTGGGTTAGATCCCTGGGTTGGGAAGATCCCCTGGAGGAGGGCGTGGCAACCCACTCCAGTATTCTTGCCTGGAGAATCCCATGGACAGAGGAGCTGGTGGGCTATGTTCCATAGGGTTGCAAAGAGTCAGACGTGACTGAAGCGACTTAGCACGCACGCATGCAAGGGTTGCATATTTCATTGTGTGTGTATACCTGTACCACATTTTATCTGTTCATCCTTAAATGGACACTTGGGTTGCTCCCATATTTTAATTATTGTGAGTAATGCTGCTATGAACATAGGAGTACAGATATCTCTCTGAGTCCTTGCTTTCAATGCTTTTGAGTCTGTGCCCAGAAGTGGAATTGCTGGATCATATGGTAATTCTAGGTTTAATTTTCTGAGGACCCGCCATACTGATAGCAATTATACCATTTTACGTTCCCACCAACAGAACACAGGGGTTCCAATTTCTGCACGTTCTCTTCAGCACTTGATGTTTTTTTCTTTCTTTCTCTTTTTAATAGAAGATAGTCTAATGAGTATGAAGGTGGTATCTGACTGCTGCTTTAATTCATGTTTCCCTAATGACTAGTGACACTGAGTATCTTTTCCTGTATTTGTTGGCCATGTGTATATCCTCTTTATAGAAAGATCTATTCAAGTCCTTTTTCCATTTTTTATTGGATTTTTAAACTTCCTGTTGAGTTCTAGGAATTCTTTATATATTTATATATTCTGGATAACAATCTTGTATCAAATGCATGATTTGCAAATATTTTCCCCTTTCTGTAAGTTGCCTTTTATATTCTGTTGGTTGTGTCCTTTGATGCATGGAGGTGGTGAACTTAGGTTCACCTCCCTCACCTCACCCTTGCCCTGGCCCTGATATTAGCCCTTCTCTCTTCCAACAAAGCATTTGACAAAGTATTTGAAACAACCAAGAACGCTTGCATTCTAAAAGTTGAATTAAGTGCATAATTTTCATTCCTTCATCTGAACTCCTATGACAACCTGGGATATCCAAATCTGAACACTGTTTCTGAAGCATAACCTAGGCTGTGCTAAGTTTTACAAGGGATGAAAAGCCATAAAGGAATTGCTGAGGCATGCCCACTGTGTCAGCCCTGGGAGAAGAGAAGCTTTTAAACTCTTATAGAATGATTACGATATGCCAGACACTGTTGTGTGCAATTTGCATGTGTTAAATTAACACCCTTAAAAAAAAAATTAACACCCTTAATCTTTACAATGGCCTTATAAGGTGTATGCTCTGAGCACCCCCACTTTATACAGAGCTTAGGGGGAGAGGAAAGCTTAATAAGTTAGTGAAGGCAGCATAGCCAGTAGGAAGCAGAACTAGGATCTGAATCAGAAGCCTGGTTCCACATTCTGTACTCTCAACCAACTATAAACTGTAGCTGATATATCACCTTCCCCATATTTAAAGAGTTAGTTCAGACTCTGGCATCTTCTGGTGCCGTTTGTTTCCAGCAAACTGCACTTTTAGGCTTCACTTAGACATCACGGCTCCTCTCCTAGCATTTCTTTTACTTCTCTTGGCTGACAGAAATGACTTATAGTCTATCCTCACAAGAGCAACATCTGGGCGTCCTGGAGATCCATCCATTCCTGCTTAATACTCTACACGTGGCTATTTCCCCGAGCTGAAACCTAGGCCAACAATGAAACCCCAGGCCTACTGTGTTAGAGTAGTGGTGCTCAGTCTCTGCCCCTCCTACCCCAGCGGGCTTGGGGGAGCTAATGGAAAACCACATTTAACTCTCAGGTACAGAAGAGCAAACCCCGCTTGCCTGGCTGAAAGTGAACATATTGGGCACCATCTTAGCAAGTTCAATGTCTCAGCAGGTCGAATCTCTCAGGGGAAGAAATAATCCATGTTCTTATACATTTTGTTTAGCTAACGACGTGTACAATGTTTTCCCATATTCGTTTACAATCGTTGAATTTTAATGGATTGCGTGAAAGAGCCCAGCCCAGCGCATAAAACAGAAGGTCTCAATGAAACAGTCTAGTTATCCAGGAAATACTCACTTCTGTAGCTTCAGAAAACAACTCATCTGTTTAAAAAAAATGTCCCCTGGGGTTTCTTTTCCTCTGCCTGGATTCCAGGATCTCATTGGCCTTGAAGGGGCTACAACTTTCTCCCCGCTGCTGTCCTAACCACAGTGATTTGTCATTTTTTGCAGGGTCCTATGGATCTACTCTGAGACGGGTACATGGGTATATCCTGTATTTGCCAAACTCAGCCCAGTGGGTCTAGCAGCCTTCTTCTCTCTCAGCTACATCTTTACCACCGGCATCTACCTATTTGGAGAGAAGCTCAACCACTGGAAATGGGGTCAGTTCATTTCTCTTTTACCTACAGAAACATTCCTTTGTTATGTGTCTTTACTCCTCCTGAGAACAGAAGGAGAAACTAGTAAAGCAGAAGGCCATAATGTTTGATGCCTTTGTCCAAAGTAGGAAAGGAAAAGCCTGGGGGAAGGTCACACTTTGTCAAAAGACCCCATCAAGTTATCTCCCCCACTGCCCCTCCAAAAAGCACCTCATTTAACTTTACAGCTAAACGCCATCTTGTTTAGAGAGCTTCGGATCCAAAGAGCACGGTGTCACCGTCCCCTCCATGAAAAAATGGACTCAGAACCTCCCTCCCTTGAGTGGGGACTTGAGATTCACAAGCTCTTCAAGGTCAAGATTTCTTCTTCGACTGAAATGGGTCCAGATGACCTTCTGAGTTCCTCCCACCCTCTGCCATGCCTTCCCTGAAGAGTTCCCACTCCTCTCCCCCAGGTTGCCTCTCAGCCTTCAGTAAAGTGTTCATCAGGTAAAATCACACCCTGAACTTGAGATCAGAATTCTCGTTGGAGGTTTTAGGCAGTGTGAGTATTTCAGAGAGCTGAGTTTTCTAATTATAGGTAGGCAGAACCACGTTGCTTCTTTATAGCAAAAAATAATCTTAACTGAGTTCATTTTAAAGTGGAAGATTTCATTCTCCTCCCTGCTTCCCCTACTGTGCCCACCCCCAGAATGTTTTCTTTTGGAAAAGTAACCACGGAAAAGTCAGGTTGTGAAATATCTGTGATTTGTTACCTACCCCAGGAGAAGTGCGGCAACACCGCTCTGATTTCGTACATAAGGAAGACAAGAGTCACACACAGTCCCCCACCACACACCCACGAGCCATTCTGTTCTATTAAAATAGAAGTGGCATCTTCCGCCCAATCTATGAACTGGTGTGAAAACATAAGCCTGTGTATGCAAAAAAATGAAAAAGAAAAACCAACAGTTTCAGAAGGTTCAGTACAAGAGTATGTATTTCTGGGAGGAGACTGAGACCCTGGAGAAATAAGCATACAACTTGGCTTTTTCACATATTTTTGACTCTTGGAGAATTTAACTGGTTAAGAAAGGCTCAAAAGCAACACTCTCCTTGAAAGCAAACACTTTAAAAGAAAAAAAATGGAATACTAAACATTACTCAAGAAATCAGGATTTCAAATCACAGGAAATTATCCAGAAAAAAAAAAAAGTGTTGACATTTCAGATGTGCTGACTTCTGATTCTAACTAGTTTTGGCTTCCTGAAGTTCTGGGTAGACTTTTGATGCCTTCCCAAAATCTATATTAAAAAAAAAAAAAAGAAAGAAAGGAAGAAACTAATCCATTTAAAACTTGGCAGAAAATGTGCAGAGAAAAAAGTGATTACTCAGAGCTTAGAGAACAATAACTTTTTAAAATCAATTGTATTGAGTTCAATAGGATTAATTTTAAAATTGACAGTCTACAGTGACTTTTAAACATTTTATTGAATTAAAAAAAACAAGATTTTCACTGTATTCATATTATTGAAATTGCTGTTTTCAACACAAAGCCCTTTTAATAAGCCTCATTGTTTAAGAACTATATCCAGGTTTCCACAAAAGCCCTAGTGAGCAAACGAGCTAGCGTCAACATGTGGTCGCTCATTTGCATCATGCATATGTGAATGTTCATGTTAGCGACAGACACTACTGTCAGTGGCTATGTGTCTCTCTTCTCTCTAGATTTTTAACTCCTTAAGAATAGAATGAGTATTATATATGAATTCTATGTAGCATTGGAATAGGATGTGTTATATTCTGAACTGATCTTAATTATAAATGGTTAAATAAGAAATTAAAAGAGAAATTAGATCACATAAAATTCCAATGGCAGTGAACACTGGCTTGCATGTTCATTCACTCTGTCATGTCCGACTGTTTGTGACCCTATGGACTGTGGCCCACCAGGCTCCTCTGTCCATGGGATTTTCCAGGATCAAAACTGCATCTCCTGAGTCTCCTGCATTAGTAGGCAGATTCTTTACCCCTGAGCCACCTGGGAAGCTAGCCATGTCCCCAGTGAACACTTAAATCACCTACAACTAAACAGAGCTAAATATGTGTAAACATTTCTCACTTCCTATTCTGCTGAAAGCCCTGTAAAGAAAGTGAAAGCGAAAGTCACTCGTCATGCCTCTTTGCAACCCCATGGACTACACAGTCCATGGAATTCTCCAGGCCAGAATACTGGAATGGGTAGCCTTTCTCTTCTCCAGGGGATCTTCCCAACCCAGAGACCGAACCCAGGTCTTCCGCACTGCAGGCAGATTCTTCACCAGCTGAGCTACCAGGAAAGCCCAAGAATACTGGAGTGGGTAGCCTATCCCTTCTGCAGCAGATCTTCCTGACCCTGGAATGGAACTCTGGGGTCTCCAGCATTGCAGGCGGGTTCTTTACCAACGGAGCTATCAGGGAAGCCTGAAAGCTCTGTAAGGCTTCCTCAATTGACAGATGAAAATCCGAGTCTTCAGAAGGCTCACAAGGGTCTCTGTGAGCCAGGCCCTGCCTTGACTCTTGCTCACCTATCTGTGTTAATGCATTCAGGTCCTCAGTGACAAGATGACCTGTATAAAGGGCAATTGCACATCTCAGTCTGCCCAGGACAGTCCTGGTTAATGCCTGCTGTGCCCATGTGAACAGAGGTTTACCCTGTCCAGGCTTGAACAACACATCCTTTATAGCTCTGAGTCCCTCTCCGAACCCTCTGTTCTGGATCTATGGAAACATATAAGTAGCCACCTACTCTGTCCAAACTGAGGGCTAACTCTACTTTCTGGTCTTTCCCACAGCCTGAGCTTCCTTGGATGAGAACAGAAATTCAAAAGAGTGCTTTGATGATGTGGTGGGAGGCAGTGGTTAGGAGAAAACTTCTGTGCCTGATTGCCTGGGTTCCTCCCTTGGGCTTACCACTTACAGACCTGTGACCCTGGGCAAGGCACTCCATGTCCTCGCATTCTGGTTTTTTCTTATGCATCATGGAAACAATTTTAGTACCCTCCTCATGGGATTCTGGAGGATCAGAAATGACTTGGGAAGTGTCAACTGCCAAGAACAGGGTCTGGCACACAGGGATAGTCACTACTGCCGTAATAATTTCATTATTGCTATAATAATTTCATTCTCACCAAGGAAAAATCAGTAACCTTCTTTTCTGTGTGGATATTCCAATCATCTCCTTCAACGTCATGCACACATTATCAGTTTCCCCCAGCTGAAGGTGATTAAAAGTAGCAACCACCTAACAGAATGCAAATTGACAGAGGTAGTGTAGTTCCTAAAAGAACTTACAGAGTGAAATGGGAGGTCAGGCTAATTGAGGCTAAAATGAATTGGAATCTCTGCTACTGAAATCCTGAGCTACATGGTTGGGAGTCACCAGCCAACTACCAGGTGATCGAGAAGTATCAGTTAAGACCCAGGTCATATGCAGGTGTCTCTCTAGCAGTAGGGCTCAATGTGACTATAGATTTACAAAATCACTAGTGGAACTTTAAGAATACTAATTCCTAAGCTGACCCCAGGCCAATTAAATCTATCCATGGAGATTGGGACTTAGCGTGGATATTTTTCAAAACTTCTCAGTTATTTTAATTTATAGTCAGGGTCAAGAACCACTGTCACAGGACAGTGCCTCTCAAACTTGCATGCACCTGCAAATCTTGTTAAAATTAGGCTCTTGTTAAGATGTAGACTCTCCTTCAGTAGGTCTGAAGAAAAGCTTGGAATTCTGTCCTTCCAGCATGTGCCCCAGAGAGACTGACACGGCTGATCTGAGAGCAAGGCCTGATGTGCCACAGGATGCCGGACTCCTCCCAGCTGAGACAATTGTATCTACTAGCTTCTTTGTGCAATATGGTGTTCTCCCAAGTTAGCTGCTTGGACGAGAAGGGTGTTGGTAATGATGGTCGTGTCTACCCACTTTCTGCCTCCTCATGTGTCCTGTCAGTGGGTGAAAATGAGGAGAAGCTTTAGAAGGGCAATAATCATGGTGACACCAGGAATCAAATGTAACCTTGGAAGTGTGTGACATTCTGCAGGGGCATATAAATGCAGAGAGCAAGCCCTGTGCACCAGGGAGACAGCTGCCATCAGGCCCGCAGGAAGGTGCCGCTGGCCTTCAAAAAGATGCTGCTGCGGCTCAGAAAGCGCTCTAGAGGTTCCAGAGGACCAACCTGCTTCAGTTTTTACCATCTCATCCCCAGACCTGTACTAGCTTTTCTGTGTCATGAAGCAGAGGGGTGGATAAGCACTGAGCCAGTTACTGGGGCCAGAAACCCACTGGGTAAGAGTCATTTTCTACGTTGCAGGCAGAATGAGGTGGGACACGGATTTCCATCACTGATGGAAGCCAACAGGGGAAGCAGTCTTTGGTAGATCACTGAAAGCTTGGCTCACCATGTCTGAGCACCTAGAGAGGCTCTAGACAGATTACTTCCACTCTGAATGCTCGGAGACAGGGGCTGTCATGGGGTCCCAACATGGGCCCTCTTCTCTGCCACTTAAGTATTTAACTTTGCTTTTTGTTTTTCCCCCTTCTTGATAAGACATAAAGATGCTGACGCCAGGACACAATCCATCAGGAAGAAAAACCCAACAACCCACAAGATATATCAGGCATGAAAGGGGCCAAGTGCCTCCAGGTCAAAATGGAGAGCCTCTTATATGTAGGTGCAGCTGGAGAGGCAGTCAGCTTACCTGTGGCCCATGGTCCCTGTCCTTACATTCACATGAGGGCTATGTGCCAGGCACATCCATTGTCAAGGCCCAAGACCACAGATTCTTTCCCCGCCAGGATAGTTTATAAGCTGAAAATTCCAATCTGGCCAAGTAACCTTATGATGGTGCCTTGGAAAGAATGATATTAAAATCTTCCTTTAATATTATTTCCTATAGATCAGATTTATGTACAGGAGATTTTATTATAAGCTACTTAGAGGCCATCTAATATATCCCCTCAGTTTTATCCATGAAGAGATTCG